CACACACACACACACACACACGCACACACAGACACACACACACACACACACACACACACAGGTGTTCCACCTGTCGAACATTAAGCTGTAGTATGGACCCCCCCACACCTTGTTGCCATGGTAGCAGACAGCTGGTGCTCAGGACCAGGAGGGCACAGCTCACCTGCCTGTCAGACATGTTCACCTGTGCGTCTCTCACCGTGACAGCGCGTGAAGTTCGGACAGAGTCACGGAGTTCACGCGCAGCACGTAAACAGACGTTACGTAAGCGTCCAGGACCCGTCGGAGCTTAGAGTCCCACTGTGGACCCTGAGCCCACACCTGGTGCTGACACGTCAGGGCCTGACGTCCACCCACCCAGATGTCCCTACATCTGAAGCCTGAGCACAACAACAACAACAAGCCGAACCGAACCGAGCCGAGCCAGGCAGATTAACCCCAAACCGGAGCTGTGTCTGCGGCGGACCGAGCTCCGGCTCACCCCCGACAGGTCCGCACAGACTCAGCGGGCCCTCCAGCACCGGCAGCCGCTTACCGAGGCCGTGTCTTTGGCGGAGAAGTTCATGAAGTCAGCGCAGGAGGCGAACGGCTGATCTCTGTCCGTTTCTGCCGCCGCCATCTTTCCTCCTCTTTCCTCCTCCTCCTCCTTTGACTCCTCCTCCTTCTTCTTCTTCTTCTTCTTCTTCTCCTCCTCCTTCTTCAGCGTCAGTGGCGACCTGCTGCCCCCTGCTGGTCTGATTTATATCATTTTCATTGAAAACGATTCACAAAACAAAATCCATACAATTACAATTAGTTCATATTACATTCACTTGCTGCAATAATTTAAAAAGCACAATGAAGAGAAGAACAATAAATCAGAAAAATAAAAATTTATAAAACTAAAAGATTACCAGTGTAAAAACTAAATAAATAACAGTGACAACAGCATACTCAATATTCATAATGTGACCATGCTGACAGTGTCCTAACAGCCTTTTGGTTCATACAGTGTTCAATATTTCTTATGAAAGTCTCACAGAAAATGGGTCTTCGTTCATTCATTCATTTTATTTATTTATTTATCATGTAAATGGAACTGCACACAATACACAATAACATTAACACAAGTGGATAACACAATAAAGCATAAAGCTTATTTCCATTGTGGTCCAACACATAGTCATCATGCAAAATCACACACAAATAACATCAGTTAAAGGAAAAAAAGACAAGATAAAATAAAACAAAATACTACTAATAAATATAGTCATCAGATTCCAGCCTTTGGAATAAGAACTGTTTAACTCGACACTTGAATAGAGGCCTGTATGCAGTAACCTGAATACACTCTGGTAACTGGTTCCACAACAACACACCAGTATAATGAAAAGAGGATTTACCATCAGTTTAAACAGCTGGAACCTGAAAGGACTTTTTACTAAACCTTGTTCCAACTGAGTGGTGATTTCTCACTGGTTGAGATAAGTAGTGTGGAGCTTCTTTGTTTACACTACTATACAGAAGATTATACTTTAGATTAACCTGTAACTCACATGGTAGCATTCCAACCTGACTGAACTGTTGTGCTCCAATGTGTGTGAGTTCCTACATTTAATAGATATCTTATCGCTTTGCTCTGAGTATATTGTAACTTAGTTTTATAATGTTTACTTAGTCCAGAGTACCAAAATGTGCAAGCATAGTCAAAATGACACTGAACCAACGCTGACACAAGCATGTTTTTAGTTTTTAGGTTGACATTTCCAGCTTGTCTTTATAGAAACTTAAGCCTGATGTTTGCTTTTTTAAAACATTTTCTGCTGTCTCTGTCCCAGATAAGGCTTGGTTAAGTTTGACACCAAGATTTCTCACCACCTTTTGAGATTTTAATAAGTCTCCTCCACATTGTACCTGCATACTATTCTTCTGGCGAATTTTGTATTTAGAGCCAAAGAGTACACACTCCGTTTTCCCCATATGTAAGGATAACCTATTATTAATTAGCCATTCTCTAACAGAATCCATCTCCGTTCTCAATGTCCTCTGTGTTGTCTCCTGACGTCATCAGTGCTGTGTCATCTGCATATAATTTTTTTTACAGCGTACTGCCGAAGAGATATCATTAAGAAATATTAAAAACAGTAAAGGGCCCAAAACTGACCCTTGTGGCACTCCCCTTGTAATATTAACTGAGTCAGAAACTATTCCTCCTATCTCGACTGTTTTCGACCAAACAAATATGATTGAAACCAGTTAGTAACTGAAGTATGACAACCCAAAGCTTGAAGTTTCTCTAGTAAGGTTTCATGATCTACCATATCAAATGGTTTTTGGAGATCCAGAAGAACCATACCTGTATAATGCCCTTTATCCTGCTCCTGTTTGATAAAACCAGTTATGTTCACCAAACAAGTCTCAGTGGAATAGGCATGTCTAAAACCGGACTGATATTCAAATAAGACTTTATGGGTCCAGAGATACTCTTCTAATTGTTTAAATATGATCCTTTCAAATACTTACGATATTACACTCAGGATTGAAACAGGCTGGTAATTTCCCACTTCTAATTTTACCTGAGAGTTTACATTTATGTATGTAATACTTTGTAATAATTAAGAGTAAGTTAACTATCAAAACTTCTTTTCAAATTCATTGTCATTTGCAAAGAAACCCAAGACAATGTGTTCATAAAGCAGTTGATAATCTTTATACAGGTGGGTTGTTGTGAAATGGGTAAAATCCTTCCAGAAGTTCTTAGTAAATGAGCAATACCAAAAGAGATGTGGTGCAGTTTCTGGCTGAGAGGTATAAAAAGAGCAACACGTATCAATATCATTTATTTCCTTCTGCTCAGTGTTTCCACCTGCAGCCTTTTTCTTCTTCTTCTTCTTCTTGTATTTACCTCCACCTACCATCCTGGAGTGTGGTAGTCAGAGGAAACTTCATTTACACACATAATGGCGAGTGTGAGTGTGCTTCCTCCTAACCTACATATAAATTCACAAGTATATGTATGCTCACATGCATATATGCATATTTTAAATACGATTAAATAACCTAGTGTTTTTTAAAAATTGGATTAATTGATTTCTTACTGATTTTGCCTCATCTCCTAATATATTAATAAAAGAAAACGCTTTTCCCTCTCTGTTTAAAACTACCTTTGAATGCTGACGTTCCTAATAAACATGTTCCACTGTTTCAGTCTGATTACAGAAATCACAAGTCCCAGTGTCATGTTTTCCAACTTGAAGAAGAGAACCATTAAGACCTGTATGACCAGTTCTAAGACACGATATAATCACTTCTTCCCTCCTTCTTCCATATCTACTTCTACTGCCCCCTTGAACATTAAATGCCTGCCAGTGTCAGGTTCATCCCATTGTTCCTGCCACACCTTGATGATTTTCTTTTGAATAATAGATTTTCCCTCTCCTTTGCTCAGAGGAATATTTAAGTTAATAAAATCTAATTTCAGGGCCTGTTTAGCTAATAAATCTACATCTTCATTTCCTTTTCTTCCTACAGGTATCCAGATAAATCAAACAGAACAGTTGTTATTATGTAGCTGGACCAATAACTGATATATATTAAACAATAAATCTAATCTACAAGACTGACCAGACTCTATACTAAATAATGCAGCTAGACTATCTGATGCAACTATAGCTTTATTTATTTATTTCCCTAATATTATTGGCAATCAACCATTTTAAAGCTAATATAATAGAAATTAATTCAACTGTATAAACTGATAGATGATCTGTTGTTCTTCTTTTAATCATGATTTTATGATGTGGAATATTTATACCTGCTCCTGTTCTGCCACGTTTTGGATCTTTAGACCATTCTGTATATATTACTAATTCTTCTTTAGATTTTCTAAATATTCTTTAACTATAATTTATTCTGGAATATTTTCCTTAATTATTATTTTTTCTAATTGCAGGTCAGTTACTGGTGTGATGAATAACCATGGTGGGACAGTTACACCTGCAGCCTTCTGACAGCTGCTTCTTCTTCTTCTTCTTGTTTTGGTGGTTGGCAAACAACAAGAAGGGGCATGACCGCCACCTACTGGTGTGGAGTGGGGACTGGAATGACGCTCAAAACAAAATAAAACAAAGCAAAATAAAATCATATAAAATAAAACAAAACAAAATAAAATCATATAAAATAAAACAAAACTAAAAACACACTCATATTCTTTCAAACAAGTGAGTTTGTTTCAAGTAGTGAATTAAGAGTATCTAGTATTAAGCGATCTAACCTTATTTTCCTTTCATGGAGTCTATTGTAGCATTTTCCTGCATATGATTAATCATTTCTGATTAGATTTAACTTGTTCCTGTGACTGCTCAGAGAAAGGAACAAAATCCCACTTTGACTTCAGACTATTTCTAAAGATTTTTGCATGGAAACTTCCTTTGTGTTTCAAATTAACATCTCTTACACCAACCCCCCACCAGACTTCCTGACGCCTTAATGTTAATAGATAAGGACTGTCTGTTCGCCCCTCTTTAAAGGGGGTCATGAACACCTTTAACCAGACTCTTCAGTGACTGAGACAAAGGACCTACATTCTTCATTAAATGTGAAAAAAAGAGAACAAGATTGAATGTTTTTATACAACTGTCTGTTTTCATTTATCTTAATCAAAGAAATGTGATTTACCTGTTTCTTTTACAGAAAGAACAAAACCCATTGAAGCTCCACTGTGTTCTTTTTAACTGTGTATTGTGTAACTGTTGATGAAATGTTTTCCTGAAGATGTTTCTTTTATTTCATGATTTTAAACAGTGTGTGTTTTATTCCATGATTTAATCCTTAGAAACCTTAGGACTTGAGTTTTAATTAAATGTGACATTCTTATTTTACTGAGGTAAACTGATGTCTCTCCCTTTAATTAGATGCAAGATAATTAAACTAAAACACTCCCTTTTTCTTTGTCCTGAAGTAAAGTTTTCCCTCCAAAACAGATTTGATTTGTTAAAAACTTTTCCTGTATAAGGTGTAATATTTTCATTGGCCAACTTAAAACCTTGACTCCGCCCATAACAGAGGTTTTAAAAGTTAGTGCAGATCCCAAGATCGAGAGAGTGACTGAGAGTATGAGATAAAGAGAGTTTTTCAACATCAGAATCCAGAAACAGCTTCCAGAAGCTCAGCAGAGACCCTTCCTGCCAGCCCCCCCCCCCCCATGGACTGGGCAGGATGAGGTCACTCTGCGTCTCCTGCTGATTGACCGAACAGCTACCGTTTAATATCGACTCAACATCTGAGTTTGATTTTATAGAAGTTAAATAAGCTAATTGTAATTCATGTGTTGTTTTAGTTAGTTTTCTCTACAAAGTGAAATCAAATTAAGAAGTCTTGCAGCCACCTGGAAGGACTGGACCCCGCTGTCATCAGCTCACCACCTTTCTGACTGAAGGACCAGCAGATGAACAGACACCCTGAGTGTCCGACCGGCCACCACACTGAAGCAGTTCTTTGGGGAACATCACCTGAGATCCTTCGGTCAGCCGACGCCTCCTCCTGGTACCACCATCAGCAGAATACAAGGGTAAAAGTGAACATTTGTCCTGGTGACACACAGGTGCTCAGACTAATTTGATTCTTATCTTTGGATGAGAGTTGGTAAACTAAATGATTTTTCTCCCTAATTTAACTAGGACCCCCACAGTTAAATCCTCAGCTAAAAGCAAAAC